AGCTTGAAGGCTGCATGTTTCCAGTGGAGTTATGTGTGTTCAGGTTTTGTGGAAAATCTGTCATTTCTTTTCTGTCAGACATGAGGGTGAAAGGCAAAGGTCAAGGTACACTCTGTTGTCCCTGTATGGAAATGATGCAAATAATTATATCATGTACAATTAATAATAAAATATATATTATCTCTCACTCTGAAAACACGAAAATGAATCAAGACGATAGGAAGATAAGGCGACCAAATCTATATCACCAAAAACAAGGTAAGGACAGTGTACACCAGCCTTTGATTTGGATTCCTTTAAATGTAATGCATGATTATTAATAAACGTTTTTGCAGTGAAGAGCTTCCAGATTCAATTTCTTGCTTCTTTACTTTGCAACCGCTTGTGTCACACTCACTTGTCATACAACATTGTATCGGATTCTTTCGGAGAAAGCCAAACAATATCAGTCCTCACAATGTCCACAATACACTTTATGGAGAATCTGAGATATTGTCACTTTGCCCATATTTAAGTCATGTCTAATGCCTTATTATTCACAGCATTCATCATTCTTAATTATGTTACTTAATTTCACAACTTTTAGACACAGAGAATATTCACTGATGGTGTCTCTACTGCACATTCTGTACAGTGAAGTCCAGTCCAGTCGTGTTCCGTCCACTCAGAGCAGATGTGCTCCGTCAAGTTTCAGTCCATGGAGTCTGCCTCCTGCTGTTGCATCACCGACTGTGATGTGAGCCAGATAATCCTGCAGATATGTCTTCATAACCATTCTGTCTATGAATCTGGAGAATGTGAATGATCTGTGACCGTCGGAAACTGGCTGGCTCACCTCTGTCACTGTATGTCCAAGGGCAGCTGTGGCTACTCCGCTGTGTGTAGAGATAATGAATGATGGGTTTGAGTGCACTGGTCCTTAAGAAGCTCTGGAACCAAGGCACTTGCTCTTTTCCAAAATTAAAATTTTAAAACTGATATTTTTTTTCTCGAGACCTCAACTTTATGTACTTTTCTTTTTCTGATTTTCTAAGATATAGGAGCACTAATAACAACAAACTTGTTTGAGTTTTTTTGTGTGCTTTTTTTAACCCCTAATCTTAAACCCTAATTTTTATTAACAGGCCTTTACCGAATGGCTGAGACGCAGTTTGATGGCAAAAGTGCCTAAAACCAAGCGAGAAGTCCCGAAGAGGTAGATTTCAATTCCAAGCTTCAAGTAGAGAGTGACTCAAAGAGCGATTTACCAAATGGTTGAGGAAACAATTAAAGGATTAAACCATTTTAAATGCTGGGCTCTTTGCCTCGGACTTGGGGACCAGTCCAGTCGGCCTTTGGTACTTGGCACTTCTGTAACTCCTCTAGACGACTGCTGTTGTGACTGCTGATGAAATGTCATTGAAATACAGTCCCTGAATCATAGTGCATTGATGTTTTGCTGCACATTTGAATTCAGCGTCTGTCGTCTTGTGTCTAGACTGTTTACGGAGCTTGTTTTGTACACTTGCAGCAGATCATTCATTCTCCTGCTCTGGCCCCTAATGCGGCCCTCATGGCTCCTATTAAACAGAACTCTAATAACAAGCACAAAGCTGCTGCTGTCTTTGGCATCTGCACAGGAGATATGACATTTGGTTGTCATTATTTGATATCTTTGAGACTAAGGGATTCAGAAAACAACACATTGATTATTATAGTAAAGATTTAGTTATTATGTTTAGGGACTACAGTGCCTTGCGAAGGTATTCGGCCCCCTTGAACCTTTCAACATTTCGCCACATTTCAGGCTTCAAACATAAAGATATAAAAGTTAATTTTTTTGTCAACAATCAACAACAAGTGGGACACAATCGTAAAGTGGAACAAAATTTATTGGATAATCTAAACTTTTTAAACAAATAAAAAACTGAAAAGTGGGGCGTGCAATATTATTCGGCCCCCTTGCGCTTGCAGCTCAGTAAGGTTGGATGGAGAGCGTTTGTGAACAGCAGTCTTCAGCTCTTTCCACAGATTCTCGATTGGATTCAGGTCTGGACTTTGACTTGGCCATTCTAACACCTGGATACGTCTGTTTGTGAACCATTCCATTGTAGATTTGGCTTTATGTTTTGGATCATTGTCCTGTTGGAAGATAAATCTCCGTCCCAGTCTCAGGTCTTTTGCAGACTCCAACAGGTTTTCTTCCAGAATGGTCCTGTATTTGGCTCCATCCATCTTCCCATGAATTTTAGCCATCTTCCCTGTCCCTGCTGAAGAAAAGCAGGCCCAAAGCATGATGCTGCCACCACCATGTTTGACAGTGGGGATGGTGTGTTCAGGGTGATGAGCTGTGTTGCTTTTACGCCAAACATATCGTTTTGCATTGTGGCCAAAAAGTTTGATTTTGGTTTCATCTGACCAGAGCACCTTCTTCCACATGTTTGGTGTGGAATTGAGACTTTTTATGGATATCTTTGAGAAATGGCTTACTTCTTGCCACTCTTCCATAAAGGCCAGATTTGTGCAGTGCACGACTGATTGTTGTCCTATGGACAGACTCTTCCACCTCAGCTGTAGTTGTCTGCAGTTCATCCAGAGTGATCATGGGCCTCTTGGCTGCATCTCTGATCAGTCTTCTCCTTGTTTGAGATGAAAGTTTGGAGGGACGGCCGGGTCTTGGTAGATTTGCAGTGGTCTGATACTCCTTCCATTTCAATATAATTGCTTGCACAGTGCTCCTTGAGATGTTTAAAGCTTGGGAAATCTTTTTGTATCCAAATCCGGCTTTAAAATTCTCCAAAACAGTATCTCGGACCTGCCTGGTGTGTTCCTTTGTCTTCATGGTTCTCTCTGCGCTTTAAACAGAACCCTGAGACTATCAAAGAGCAGGTGCATTTATACGGAGACTTGATTACACACAGGTGCATTCTATTTATCATCATCAGTCATTTAGGACAACATTGGATCATTCAAATATCCTCACTGAACTGAGTTTGCTGCACTGAAATTAAAGGGGCTGAATAATATTGCACGCCCCACTTTTCAGTTTTTTATTTGTTAAATTGTTTTAAATTATCCAATAAATTTCGTTCCACTTCACGATTGTGTCCCACTTGTTGTTGATTCATGACAAAAAATTAAAATATTATATCTTTATGTTTGAAGCCTGAAATGTGGCGAAAAGTTGAAAGGTTAAATACTTTTGCAAGGCACTGTATGTGAAAATCAATGCGGTTTCCAGCTCAAACTCATTTCATTTCCCATAACACATCCCAGATAGGATCGTAAAATTGGCACACAACAAGACAGTTTCAGGAGTTTGCATATTTCATGTGACATAATGGGTACAAGTCCTGGAGGCAAGGTTTCCCAAGCATTGTCCTTATAAAGAGCCTAAATCCCATCAACACATAAAAGGAGAAGATACAAAGTTGAACCTTCTTATAGGTCTGACCGTCTGACAGAGGTTACGTGTGTCAAGATCCTGTCAAGTGGCCTCCGATATGAACCTAAATGATTATTATTTACTTGCGGCATTGATGGTAAGAGAGGCTGGAGCATACCATACAAGCCAATTCTATTAAAAAACCCATCCATCCATCCATTTTCTACCCTTTAATCCATTTCTGGGTCAGGGGGGTGGCAGTCAGAGATGCCACCCAAGTCTCATAGCACCAGCCCCTCACTGACCCTCTGCAGGTGGTGAGTCCACAGGAAGACCAGGTATTAAAAAACCATCACACAATATATTTTATTCCAAACATTGAACCCAGAACATTGACAAAATGTGCTGGATGATTTAAAAGTACAGCCTTAAAGGAGAAATATGTAAAATTCTGGCCAAAAGTGGTACTGCAACCTCTCCCACTCTCCCTGACTCAGGTTGCCAGATATGCAGACAAATCCTGCTGGGATCATAATATCTGAATAGACAAGAGATTTGCCAACAACAAATCTATAATCAACATCATCACAAAGGCTCTGATAGAAATCCTCGTTTTATTCCTTGTTTTGTCGGATTCGAGAGACCTTTTATAGTACTGGCAACATGTTACTTTACCAGTGAGATTAGCTTGACGTGGTGAGTTATGGCAAACCGGATCACAGACTTTCTGATTGGTAAAATGGGTGAGGGCGGGATATCGAAATGAAAACAATAACATTTTGGGGCAGTAAATTCAATTTTTAAATTTGACTATCTCGGTTGAACTACTGTTATCAGTTAAAGAAGTATTTGAAAAGACCATGGTTTATAAATGCCTTTTGACAGATTAGGGCCATTTAATGATGACTTGACATGTTAGATTTACATATTGCTACTTTAGAGAAGTATTGGCCCCTGACCAACTGTTATTTATTGATACCATGGCTGTTGGTATGGATTTCAAAGTTCATCTCAAAGATAGATTTACACCGCTCCGCCACATTACAAAAGGGCAAAGACAGTGACATCATTTTTGTTTTTACTCAGATTGTAGAAACAGGAGACACAGATGTCACTTACCTCTGTCCCTGTGTGATTGGCACAACATGTGGTGTAACAGAGTAGGACTGCTTTTCCAAGAACAATATAGAATGTGACAAAAGCAAAACAGGAAATGTGCTATTTAAGATAAAACTAAACAATTCAGGAACAATCTCAATAAACATTTGATTGTGGACTAACAATAGATGACCCTTTGTTATTTGAGTATTGGACTACTTCACATATTGCATTCTGAAATTCAATAATGGGAGCTGAAAATTGGTCAAGTAACTTCCATAGTGAAGTGTGAAATTCCACATGTTACACGGATCTCACAGATCATATTCATTACAACGTTATTTCTTTCTCCCTGAGAGCTGTGATGAGGGCATCAGCACCACCTCCTTTGGAAGGTCCATGGCAAGTAGTGTTCCATGGTGGCCCGAGAGGGCCTTACAATGCTGCTTAAGACTTTAATTTACTTTAAAGTCACATTGCAAATTTTAATCTGATCACAGTAACGCCAACAAGATAATTATCTTAAGAAAAGTATTTTTTATGACCTGTACAGTATGAATAAGGATGCTACTTTGGTGTGAATAGTTGGACAATTAGAGAGGTCTGTGGACTGTTGCTCCTTCTGGTCTGTGAACTGTTGCTCCTTCTGGTCTGTGGACTGTTGCTCCTCCTGGTCTGTGGACTGTTGCTCCTTCTGGTCTGTGGACTGTTGCTCCTTCTGGTCTGTGGACTGTTGCTCCTTCTGGTCTGTGGACTGTATCTCCTCCTGGTCTGTGAACTGTTGCTCCTTCTGGTCTGTGGACTGTTGCTCCTTCTGGTCTGTGGACTGTTGCTCCTCCTGGTCTGTGGACTGTATCTCCTCCTGGTCTGTGGACTGTTGCTCCTTCTGGTCTGTGGACTGTTGCTCCTTCTGGTCTGTGGACTGTTGCTCCTTCTGGAGAAAAGACATGACACAGTTATTGGATTGGTTTTTTTGGAGAACTTATTACAGTCAATTAAGAAGACAATCTTGTTTTGAGCGTCACAAACATGTGATGCACCAGAACCATTATAATGTGATAAGACAGAAAATGTATTCATGGAATAGTTTTATTTCCTCTGGTCATCAGAGTAGAAATGACACTATTTCATAATTGGATTTCTTTGATGTCATAAGTCAAACAGCAAACAGATGCATAGACTTCATTCACTTCTGTGCAACATGCATGTATTTACACATCTGTTTTCTGCTTCACGAATAGGTACAGAATAAAGGACTTATGTCCAGAATCTTCTAAAAATGTATTTTAGGGCTCAGTCAAAAGACAAATTTCCCGATGGAAATGATACAGCATCCATAAACAACAATATTTCACCTAAAACGATGTAATCATTTTTCCAGAGGTTCCAAACTCTTTTGGCCAGGATCTCAAAGCCACTCTGGGAACCGGCTCCCAAAAGGAATTGGCAGTGAGAATATCAAGTTATGTGAGATTAATGTTTGTTGTTTTAAGGTACAGTAAGGTATACTTTACTGATCCCCATACAGAAATGTGTCGACTGTATTCAGCACGTCCTTCATTACGTCTCTGCTCCTGCTGAGAGGTGATGACAACATACATCTTGAAATCCTACTCCCTGCTGATGCCTAGGACCTCCTTTTAGGAAACCATTGGTTTGCGCTCTCACTTCTCAGCAAGAATTACCTGGGTTCGAATGCTGATCGGAACAGAGCCTTTCTGAGTAGAGTTTGCATGTTCTCCCCGTGTCTACGTAGGTTTCCTCCGGGTGCTCCCTTACCACTAAAAACATGTTCGATAGCTCTGAAAGTAATGAGTGAGTGAATGGATGATGTTGATTGGGGGTTTTGATGCGCCAGTGTGTTCAGCGTCTCACTTCTGTCATCACCGTGTGAGAAAGAGGATGGAAAAATATCTGAAAATATTGTAAAGCGCTTTGGGTGACCTTAGTCTGTAAAAATGTGCTATATAAAAAAAAAAATACTACTTATAAAAGAAATTGTACATTGCTTATGGAACAGTTTTTTTGCCAACATACTGACCCTAAACATTTATCAATTTTCTGATGGTCTCATATGTAAAACTTTCATGTTTTCAAGACACCATCAGAACCTCACATTAGTTTTTCCTTGCTGGTGATTTTCTCAATTAGCATCAGTCATAAGAGTAATGATGCTACAAGAGGCAAGCAGAGGACAGCTCAATACAATGGCCACTGTTGTCCGGTCACATTAGGGGCCTCCTGAATCCCCCACTAACAAGAAGGGAACAGGAAGTCTATGGGGACAAAGCTCTGACGGCAAAAGAGTCCAATATTTCATAACAAACATGGTGTTGTTTGGCTGCGCTGACCTGAAAACCTCATCAAACATGTTGGACAAAGGGATTTGAGCAAGAGCAGCTTCTCCATAGACTGACCACACTGTTCTTTCTTTAAATAGTGTGGGTCTGGCTGGTCAAGCAAGGTTTTTCCAAGACAACGACAATTTCTGAGTTCAATAAAATATCGTGCTTTCGTGCTGGAATATAATGAATACAATATGCAGCGTGTTTTCTTCCCTATGAGTTTTTATTTTGTCATAAACAAAGCAATGTGTACGTGCTGGACTCAAGCCTGGGTTGTTAAGATGATTGATTTTTCATGATGATTGGCTGAAAAAAAGAAAAAAACACTCCAGAAAAAAGCCACGTAAACATGTTATTCCCCGCTGTCTACTGCGTTGAGTTTTCATCTGCTAAATTATAAAGTTTTAACGTAACACCATTACGTAGATTCAACTTATAAGAAATGTGTTAATTTTCTGTAATAAACATCATTTAGTAAATTAGTATGGCCCTTTTTGGTCGGAATCATATTGGTATAGTTGTGAGTGTGTGCGTGTTTGTGTGTGTGTTTGTGTGTGTGTGTGTTTGTGTGTGTGCGTGTGACACTTCTTCTAGTTATCCTGAGCTATGCATATAACCTGGTAGCTGAGTGGTTAGCACTCTCGCTTTTCAGCAAGAAGGTTCTGGGTTCAAATCCTGGTTGGAACAGGGCCTTTCTGAGTGGAGTCTACATGTTCCCTGCATGCCTGGCTAGGTTTCCTCCGGTTGCTTCGATTATACCACTAAAAACACGTACATTAGGTATGAATGTAATGAGTGAGTGAATGGATGGATGAGTGGAGGCTTTGATGCACCAGTCTGTTCGCCGTCTCGCTTTCGTCATAACCATGTGGGAATGGATAAATATTTGATTTCTGATCATTTAAAGCGCTTTGGGTGACCTTGGTCTATAAAATGTGCTATATAAATAAACAATAATTAGCTAGGAAAGATAACAGCTACTTATATTGTATATTGTGTGTGTTCCCTGTGTGCTCTAACTACTGTCCTGTCTGTGCACTGCAACATTGAAATTTCCCCACTGTAGGACATATAAAGGACCTCTTATCTTATCTTATCTTGAGACTGTGGGTGGTTGTTTGAGGATAGAGTACTCTGTCGGTACTCTATATTGCAACATGGTAATATAAAGTTATTGGCCATACCCATCATTAACGGGTTGCAAAGGATTTAAAAACCTGCAGATAAAGCAAGTGTATAGGAACAAAGGTAGTGGTAGTTCCAATAGTTGCAATTATCACGGAATCAATTCATCTACTAGATTTTGACAGGAGTCTGGTCATGGCTCAAACGGTCTGTTAAGTGAAGTGATATCTGGATGGAGCTTCCTGTCCCGCGCTGGAGACAAACAAGTGTTGCATTGTGTCCCTCCGACCCGTGCATCTGTCTGTGTGAAGCCTCTGTGTGCGATCGTATCCCCGCAGAGGACGCACTGGTGAGGAGGCTGTGACCAGGTGTCATGTGAAGGCTGCAGTGCACACTGTAGACATTTGAATGACAAACACACACACACACACACACACGAACACACACACAAACACAAACATGGTCTGAGCAGAGACGACTAGATCACCCGTGGGGAATCCTGAGGTGTTCCCCGACTCATAGTTTTTGTGAATAATTATATTCTTGACTTTTCTGTTGAGGGATTTACCCTTTGGTGCCATGAAGAAATAATCTGGCTCACAGCGGATTGATGTGTGAGTTCATCAAATTGAGTTCTGAAAAGGTATCCAGACTCGCTCCTGAGGAAACAGTTGGAACTCCTTTTTGGGAAAGAACTGCCCCTCCACTTTAAAAAAAAAATGCACATGTGAACTGCTCCGAGAGGGAACGCTGTCACCTAATAAAACGTGTGCTACGACATACTGATGGGACCTGCATATGTACTCACCTGTTTCAGTCTTATTCTGGCATATTCTGTTCTGCTCTGATCCGGACCCTGCCTTTTTACCCAATACTACCCAATACACTGTTTTGAGTCACTTCTGGGTCAGTGTTTGGCTCCTGCACACGCTGCATTCTTCTTCATAAAGTTGTCGAAAGTTGTTTATGTGTGAAAAGGGGTTCATATTACTCCACTTGAACAGCAAACTTGATGTAGACCATGAAACGATTCCTTGGGGTCCTGAATGCAACGAGGACATTGTTTCTACTTAAGACTCAATTTGAAACTCCCATAAAGTGATACAGATTAAAGATTCAGTTCATTTGCCATATGCAGTAAAACCATATTGGAATACCTGTGCAAGAGTCTCCCCTGTGACCACCAGAGCTCTTGCCATCAATCAATCGGTCAATTTCAGTTTTTCTTGAAAGAAAAAAAAAAGCAACACAGTGCTTTACATTTTGCTTCAAAACACTTCTACACATACACAAGCACACGCAAACATACACGCACACAATCACACCAAATGGGTAAAATTGGTTCAAATCATGAATGAAAAGTTATGGGGCCGGGTGCTGGTGGAACCGGCTGAAGAAGCGTCACCTAAGGAACCGTCTGCACCAGGAGCAGAGAGCCACCTGAGAAGGCATGACCCCCACAGCCGACCGCCGCTCCCAGTGCAGAGGGCTCCATCTTTGTGATTGTGTTGGTCACCAGTGGTTTGGACGACACATCAATACAATCAAGAGTTTATGAACTCACACATGATGTGCTGCAGTGTAACGGTAACACAGTTCTTTTTTGTTAGAAACTCATATTATTGTTTGAAGTAGCCGAGAAGCTAGATGCTGGGGAGTGTCTCAAATACTTTAGCTCAAGCCTGTTCCCTGAGTTTCATCTTATTGTGTTTTCTCCAGAGTGTCCAGACAGCTGCAGCTGACAGCTCCAGATCCTCAGCTGGAGACAAGAGCCTCGGCCAAAACACAAAACCCAGCTCTGGCTCAAATATTAACGCTAGAAAACAATTTATTCTATTACAGTAATCCTTTCTTTCAGGGTCAGAGGAAACACGTTTTTTAGTGACTCGCCGTTGGTCAAAAGCAGATGTAAATGTTCTTTGTAAGTCCAGGAGGTGCGAGAAGAATGTCAGGCGTTTTAAATCATAGGAGCAGAGACAGTGGATCAGAGCAGTTATAGGTGCAACAATTTCATTCAGTTTGACCAAAGTTCCATCCATTTTCTACCCTTTAATCCATTTCTGGGTCAGGGGGGTGACAATCAGAGATGCCACCCAAGTCTCATAGCACCAGCCCCTCACTGACCCTCTGCAGGTGGTGAGTCCACAGGAGGACGGCTGCTCTCTGAGTGTGAGCATAGCCTTGATCTTTCAGTGGGGGCTTTGGGCAAAGTGGGGTTAAGTGGAGGACACTCCACTTAACCCAAGGACCCACCCAAGGACACAACGACAGCAGTCATCAGTGGGAGTCGGTGGAGAAGGTGTAGAGGTGGGAATTGAACCCACGACCTTCTGGCCTTAAGGCCAATGCTCTACCAACTGAGCTACTGTCGCCCCCTAACCCCATGAACGGTTATTGTCCAACAAATATATATATATAATAGACACGAGTAGGTCTGTAGTATGCAATACTGACACAAATTCAT